TCACCTGGACAGGTAACCAGTCTATCACAGGGCTACACTTAGAGACAGACAACCAAGCACACTCACATTCACACCTACGGACAATTTAGAATCACCAATTAACCTCAACTTGTTTCTGGACTGTGGGAGGAAGCCGGAGAACCCGGAGAGAACCCGTGCTGCACGGGGAGAACATGGAGACTCCACGCAGAAAGATCCCGGGTTTCCTTACCAGGACGTGAACCAGCGACCTTCTAGCTGCGAGGCAACGGTGCTTACCACTGCCCCACCTTGCACCCCTATTTCAGGAACTATTTAAGATAAAAGCAGGACATTTCTCATTGTGCCTTTGATTCAGAATCTGCAAGTACATCAAACAGACTCGTATGATGGGTGAGTTGAAATATGAACAAAAGAAAAGTTAAAAAAAATGCATAATGCAGAAGTCAACCAGAGATATTATCTGAATCATATGTGGTTGCATGTCACAGTAATCCAGAACAAAACATACAGAATACTTCTAAATGTGAAATACGTGGAACTGACTGAGCTGGTATGACAAGTTGTGCCACAAAAACAACAATCTTCGCCTAATCCGAGTGAGAAAAACGCAATTTTTAAATGCAGCATTCTGAATCACTGACATGACGAGAGACGGCTGAAAATTTCATGCTTTTATCTTTAATAGTTCTTGAAATCAAATCAAATTTTTATGTCAGAAAAAAGTGCTGAAAGCAAGTCAGCAGACTTTTTTTTTTTTTTTTTTTTCGTGTTTTTTTTTGTGGAAATCCTGTGAAAAGACCTCAGCGAGTGTCAACACTGCTGGAAATATGAGCATGAAAGAGTTTCTCTAAATTGTGTTTTGACGGGAGATGTTAAAGGCTGAGTTAGTTACTGCTCTCACACGACTGTTAAAAGTGAGACTAATGAAGACACTGTGTTTTTAAAGTGTCAGCTGTTTGAAGTCCTTTTTTGTGAACTCTGGATTTTGTGTCAGTAGGGAAATACACGAGATATGAAACACACGTGAACAGATGTGTACATAATAGAAGCAACCGGTGGGAGTGTTTCTATGGTTTTTCTATAAGTAGTGCAAAGATGTAAGTGTGCATGATGAAAGTGTAATGATGGCTTACATGCATATAGTCATTATAAAACCAGAGAGGGCAGCTCAGAGGCAGCTATCATCTTGGACTCTGATATTCAATTTGCTGTATTGGCATGTTAGCATCGTCGTTATCAGCATTATTATGAGCACTTGGCTCTAAAAGCTGCCGTATCTAAAGACGGCCGCACCGTTTGTTGGGTTATTTTGAGAAACATTCGTCAATTTCCAATTCCAATCCCACCCAAACATGAAAACCAAAGATGGATAGCAAAACGCGAGGTAAATGTCTTAGAAATAATGAGTTAGAAACAAAAAAGAAGCAATCCAATTCAGAGAGACAGAACAAAAGGATGGCTCGCACCGAAAAAATCAATGTCAGCAGCGCGCCTCCACTCCGTCTTCTTGCTTCGGCGTTTACGGGAGAAACACATGCACAGCTGAGGATGCACTTTCCCGTCCTATGTTTACGTCATTTGTTGTGCAGCAACTTTCCCCGACTGTTCGGACATCTTCCAGCTCTAGTGTCTCCTACGATTAAAAGTTGTAGACGGAACACAAACTGGAGACGTGTGATGTTCACAGCATAACAGCGAATCTCAACCCAGGATCCATTTGGACGGCATTAACATTACGGGGGAGGTGGGTGATAAAATATTCCATATGGTTCGTGGGGATTTGATTCATCAGACCAGACCAAATTTAACAATTTTGCAAAAATTACAGGATGCATGATAGACTATTATTATGCAGGGAAATCTGTTGACATTCAGCTATGTCTGATTTGAGGAGCTTAAGTTTTTCGAATTATAGTGAATTACAGTCAATCTAATTAGTGTTTTTGGACAAGAACTTACAAAAAAAAAAAGATGTCAGATGTAAATTCAGTTTCTACAAAGCACTGGCAATAAAATAAAAATATAAAACATAAAATAAGTAATTGCATCAGCATTCAGCCCCTTCAAGTCAGTATTTAGTAGACGTACCGTTGTCTGCAATCACACCAGCGAGCCTGTGGA